TCTCTGCCTCCACTCTCAACTCTAGTACTATGGATCGCTTTTCTGAGGGTAGTTCAAAAAAAATAATTTGGTCACTCAATCCACGACTGTTTGTGGGACACTCCTGTGCGCAATTGGCTGCCGTGTTTCGCCTACAAAATATACAGTCAATTCACTTTACAGTATATTCTGTGAAGCGCTTTGAGACTTCTCTAAGACGTGTTAAGGCGCTGTATCAAATGCAAGGATTATTGAATCCTTGCATTTGATATAGTAAAATGAATCTTACCAAGAATCGTATTGTCTTAAGTTCATCTTTGCTTCTAACCTGTTAGTTGCAATATGGTGACTCCAGATTTAGGTTCCCTGTTGAACAGCAGATCCTGCAATCTCTGACCTGTCCTTTCTGGCACGGCAAGCGAGTTTCCGGGGCAGCAGGGAATAGAGTTCCTGCCTTGAGTTCATTTGCTTGGAGCAGCCATCTTGCGCTGCAGGCTGGACAGTAGCGTACGTCATTGTATATACTACTTGACTGTTTGCCTTTGGAACCCTGCGGAGTCCTGGATTGGAAGCGAAAAAGATTGTGGAGAGTGGGGAGCACCTTCTCGCCCCAGAAGGGAATGAGCATTGTGTGTACTGTGCTCATGTGGTTACAGTACTTCAATAATTGCTCTTGGAATCGTGCCTGGTTTAACACCTCCACTCAGGGGCACTCTTCCTTCCATAGTCTGAAGTGGCACATGCCCAGCCATTACACTTTCTATTGTAAATTGGGTGGAAATAGCAGAATCTTTTGATGACGTTTTCACTTCATGGCAGTTTGTGGCACATTGCTGTTGGCAAATCGGCAGCTGTGTTTGCCTACAATGTACACAGTCACTACTCGTTTTGGTATATCCTGTTGAGTGCTTTGACATGTCTTCCCAATGTGAATGGTGCTATGTGAAAGTCAAAGATGTTTCTTGTAAGTTCAGCAATGACCTTATCAGTGCCTTAATGTGGATGTAGCCTACAGCCACTCTGTTCCCACTCTCTGAAACTCCATAGAGGAGTGCCTCAGTGATTCCTTCTCTGCCCTCAAATCTGCGATAATAATCTTTGCATTTGATATAGCGCCTTATACTGTCTTTGAGATGTCTCAAGTGCTTCACGAAATATGCTGTAAAGTGATTTTTTTGGGGGGTGAAACGCACTTTGACTGCTCTGTCAGGAGGACATCCCAAAATGCTGGACAGTCAGGGATCCTCTGGTTGGGATCAGGAGTGATGGAGGGCGAGGAGGGTACAGATAGGAGGGTGACCGTAGGCACAGTTGAAGAGGAGCGTCTTGAGACGGGTCTTGAAGGAGACGAGGCAGAGAGTGAGGCGGAGGAACTGTGGATGGAGTTCCAGGGGGTAGGGGCAGAGAGGCTGAAGGCCCATCCGCCAATAGTAGTGCAAGGATATACTTGTCAAGACAGGGGATGGGAAACAGGCCGGAGCCCGCTGAACGAAGGGAGCGGACAGGTTGGTAGGGGATTAGGAGGTAGGGAGGAGAAAGGCCATGGAGGTTTTGAAGGTGAGGACCAGGATCTTGAACAGTATCCTCTGAGTGATGGGGATCCAGTGGAGTCAGGCGAGGATGGGGGTGATAGAGTCACGGAGCCTGGTGCGGGAGAGGACACGAGCTGCAGAGTTCTAAATGATCTGCAGCCTGTGGAGGAGGAGTTGGGAGGCAAACAAGCAGGGAGTTTGAGCTGGGGTTTGAAGGTTGAACAGGCTGCCGAGGTTCCATATCGTCTCCGTGAAGTGTAGTGTGCATACATGAAGGATGATGCTGTCAGCGCCCAAGATATGGAGGCGCTGACGGTAGCCAAGCAGGAGGCCCTCGGTCTTGTTGACATTCAATTGAAGGAAGTTTGCTCTCACCCAGGACTTGATGTCCGACAGGCAGTCTGCGAGGACAGCAGTAGTACTGGAGTTGAGAGTGGAGGCGGAGAGGCAGAGTTGGGTGTCATCCACAAATGTGGAAGTTGACTCCGTGTCTTCGGATGATGTCACCAAGAGGGAGCATGTCAATGTTGAATAGGAGGGGACAGTGCCCTGAGGGACGCCACACAAAACGTTACGGAGGCTGGAAGGGAAGCGTGGGAGAGGTAGGATTGGAACCAGGAAGGGCAGGTTCGTGAAGGTTGAGCTGAGAGGATAGGCGGTGAAGGAGGATAGAATAGTCGACAGTGTCGAAGGCAGCAGAGCGATCGACGAGGAGGTAGAGAGAGCCCTGGTCGCAGATGGACAGAATGTTGTTAGTGACTTTGACCAGGGCTGTTTCCGTGCTATGGGCCCACTCCAGGCACCACTTGCTTGATGCAGACTTTGGGCCTCGCTCCAGGTGCCGCCTCGACCCTTGCTCCAGGCAGCCCCGTCGCGGAAGGCCTTGAGCCAACAGGCTCCTCACGCTGCTCCAGTTACACTCCCTTGTTCCCATTTGTCTGGTTTGCAAAAAACAAGTTTTTTCCCCCGGTTTTGCAATCCTGTTCACGACACCAGCCTCCTGTCCGACACCATTTTAAGTAACAGTCAGTTGTGTGAAGTGCTTTGAGATGTCCTTGCAACATGAAAGGCAAACTATAAAAGGAAATTGTTGAGTTTGAAGACCCATTGTTTGACAGGAGCTAAAGACTTGTAGTTAATCACTTTACTCTAGGAAGTGTATTTGAGTAAACTCTTTAAATGCTATTTTATGAAATGAGGATTGATCACAGTCCATCTCTACAATTTTCAAGGATGGTGGAAAGAACAAGACAAATGAGTACGAAAGAGGTAGACTTCCATACAGCAGTACGTGACCTAAATTCCATTGTGAATGGTGCAGATCAAAGCTATTTGGTGGCAACTGGAAGCAGATTAGTGCAGGACAAAGATGTTTCGCTAACTCTTTGTTTACTATTCATAAGTTAGGATTGCTTTCTGCGCTGGTTTTGAATGACTAGAGGAGTTCAGATCAGATGAACAAGCATCTGCTGAGCTAGCAGCTCCCTCCTAATGCCAGTTGCCCTGTGCAGTTCATTGCTGCTGGCTTTATCAGCTCGCTACTGTCTCCCAACGGATGACCTTGCTGCGTGGGGCCTCGATGTCTTTGTCCATGGTCCAGTTGGAACAATATCCAGCCGTGTGCTGCGCTGGAGAATTGGCAGGGCTCAGATATTGGGGTGTGGTGGAGCTAAGTGAATGAACTTCCTATTTTAAAAGTATTGGAGCTCTTCAAACTCTTTTTTGGAGTGTCTGGTGTCTGACACATGCGGAAACCCATCACTATGCTTAAGAGTATCCAAACCAAGCTTAGGCTTCTGTGCATTCTGCCTACACATGGAAATCCCAGAGATAGATTGTTGGAATGGAATGTGCTCTGCTCTCTCTCTCTCCCTTTAGGGACGTATCCTGCCTACCTAATTCCAGAACGTATTAGGCACAGGTTGGCAAGAGTCTAGGCTTGGGGACCCCAGAGTGTTTGTTGGGGTAACTGCTGGAGTCTAACTCTGCTCCATAGATCTTCAATGTTCTGAGTTCACTCCATCTATCCATCTTCAGTATCTGTTGATTAGTATCAATGTGACAGATTTCTTGAAGAAAATCTTTTGAGGTCGGGTAGTTTTTAAACATCTATCTGATACTAAGTTTGTGCTCTTTGAGGTAGTGAGAAGAGACTGGAAACTGTACCGTCCTGTGGTGTGAATGTTGTGCTTGTAGCTAGGGCTCCCGCCCTCCAGTATCTGCTCCTCTAATCCTCACCGGGCAGGGATCAGCATCGTTCAGCTTCACAGCTAATGTGATGCGACTGATTGGGAGGGAAGTGTAGTGGAGCTCAGTTGAAGAATGACGTTGCACTGCATATGTGACCACTGCCTGACAACCTTTTCTGCTCTAAAAACACTGGGATGTCTAACTGCAGAGGTTTCTGCAGCTCAGTGGTTAGAGCACTCGCCTCGCAAGTGAGTTCGATTCCCGGCAGGGCGAAACGTTGGGCAAGTTTTCTTACTCCACAAGCGTCTGTTTACCTAGCCGTAAGTAGGAACCCGGTTGTTAGTCGATTGTCAGATTGCTTTTTTTCAAGGGTAATAATTCCTTCAACAAAATAAAGTTGGTCACTCAATCCACGACTGTTTGTGGGACACTGCTGTGCACAATTGGCTGCCATGTTTAGCCCACAAAATATACTATCAGTTCACTTTACAGTATATTCTGTGAAGCATTTTGAGACATCTCAAAGATTTGATAAGGCGCTATAACAAATGCAAGGATTATTATTTATTTTCCTCCGTCCAAATGTGGTTGCACATTTATATTGCTGTACTTGTAAACTTGGATGTTAAACTCCAGGCTGTCCTTTAAACAGAATTTACAATTAATGCAAAACAGCCAACCAAAACCACCACACAGGCCAAGTCAAATCATTATCTAGTTGGTACTGTTCTACTGCTGGGTAATAGCTATTGTCCCTCACAATTGAATGCATTGATCCCGTGAGACCTAGAGACAAATTCGAGACAAATTCAAGTTCACATCAGGCTTTAGTAGATTAAAGGGTTGATTTCAAAGTGCTGTGAGCATCCACCTGATTTTGATACAATTCTGGTTCTGTTGAAATCATTTGAAAAAATTTATCAATTTTGAAAAAACAACTTGCGCAATGATTTCTGTTGTCTCTGGGTCACTGAAAAAGACGTACATCTGTATCACTGAATTGATCCTAAATTGGAACTGTTGAGGAGGAAGATATACAAAAGTGATAGAAAAGTTGAGAGTAGAGTAGTTGGCTTCAATGGATGTGTTGGCACCAGCTTGGATTTGCTGGACCACTAGCATTGGTGTTAGTAATAGTACACAGGGCAGTCTAAACCAGCCCTTGTTATCGTTGTTATATTGAACTTTGCTCGTGACACAGACACCTGTTACTATGCTTTAATGTAGCTCTCCCCCTACCCCCACCCCCACTCACTCACACACACCAGTGTTTAACCAAATATGTCTGGGGCAAGGTAAAGCATCCATTTGGCTAATTGAGCTAACATGTTTCACTGCTTATTCTATGCTGGTGATCGCAATCTTCAGAATGAGAAGCCTTTAACTTAACAACAAAGTGCTTTGAGAGTATCTGAGTTGACGTGAAGGTGACTGCCATGTGTGAGCCTCGAGGCTGCTGCCTGGCGTATTTGGACGTGGCATTTTATGGGATAGTAATTGAAAGGTTAAAATAAGGATAATCCTGTAAGTAGATTACACAGAGCTTTTCCTATTTTCCAGTTATGTGGGATCCTGTCTGTTCCCAGCAGTAAACACAACACGAGATGGATCTGGGCAGACAGTCGGGTCTGAAACCCTGTGCTCTTTGTTTCGCAGGGATAGAGTGCAAGAAAAGGAAGAGCAGTTGATGGAAGAAAAGAAAAAGAGAAAAGAGGACAAGAAGAAAAAGGAAGCCGCTTTGAAGAAGGTATTTACTTTCTGTAATCGTGAAGGGCACCTAATGGTTTAATGAGATTATCCCTTTGTCAAGAACACATTAAAGACTTGTACTGAAAGGTTGCAAAGCGTAGGTAACACAAGTAGGTGTTAAACTTGTGCAAAATCTAGGTGTTACACTAGGAGAAAGCGGTGGAGAATGTAGTTCTATGACATTGTTGTTCCTTTAAGTCAGTGCAGTTTTGTTGAAAAGCTGTGAAATGTTGCTTGCAAAGTGTTTGGTACTTTCCAAGGACACCTGTGGGGAGTTGAGCCATTCCGCCCATATCTAAAAATATTAACCCATGAACAATATTTCGACTGGTCTTCCTAAAGCTCTGTCCAGCTGAGAGAGGCGTGTCAACCTTGTGCATCCTCCAGTACTGGTTATGCGGTGTGTGAGCATCTCTCTTCCATATTCAAGACGGAACCCTTGAAAACTCATGACAACAGTGCGGATGTGCCTTCATGTGGGTGCCACCGCGATGCTTGTTCCAGCATAGTCACCTTGTCTCTCATTTCTGGAGTCTTAATAATAATCCTTGGATTTCTTACCATGTCTACATTGTTGAAGCGTTTCAAAGCACTGCACAAGTACTTCCTGTGATGTCTTGTGACAACCCGTAAGCAAATCTATTGTTTTAGTGCTGGGTTAAAAAGTATTAGTGCTGTGACATATCTTGGATGTGAATTTCCTTTCTTCAAAAAAAAATCTGACTCGCTTTCTTTTCTTTAAAACAGGCCACTGAACAAAAAAACAAAGGTAAGAGTACCCAAAGTTTCCCTTTGGTCAGTTTCTCAGCCGTGGCTTCTGTGGAGCTTTTCGTTTGAACTGTTTATCCGTTATTTGCTGATTTGTGGTGGTGTCGCCTTGCATTATTCTTCTGAGGGGCGCTATATACGTGCAAGTTGTTGTTGTTGTCAAGAGCACTAAGCGTCAAGTGGGGCTAAAGTGGAGAGGTGTGGCAGTGGAGGTCAGGGCTTCAGGTCCTATAAGGAGTACCTTGCATGAGGGACGCTGTCTAAATGCAAGTTGTTGTTGTGATGTGATAATGCTGAAACTGAGCGATGCAATTGAACTCGACCAACTGAGCTCTTGAAACAGAGTCTGATTGGTTTCTAACCTGTGTTCTGTCCATTGTATTCTCTTTGCATGTGTAGTAATAGAAGTTGATGTTAAAGTTGATGTTAGCTCATTGACTTGTGTCCAGTGCTTTGTTTTGAGATGTGAGCCCAGTTCAGTGGTAGACATTTGGGAAATTGTTTTAATTTAAAAGTGCAAGGCTGTTTCACTGTCACTTTTTGGGAGAACTCCTCTCAGTGGCCTCTTTGTTTTTTTTGCTCAGGCGTCCAGTGTATAAAGTACAGGAGGCACCTGCAAAGGCTGGAGCGCAATGACCTCATTTCCAGAAGGCACATTGGTTGTTGCTGCCACTCTGTTCTGGGCTTGCAGTGAGTGACTCCCCAGCTCCGCGAGGACTTTGTGACTAGAGTGCGTTAAACAGTAGAACTTGTTACACCACATGTACTGTGATTACAGTGGAGTCTGTAATTAGTGGTTAAATCACTCGCCTCACAAACGAAAGGAACTGAGATTGAGTCACGGTCAGGGCAAAACATTGGGCAAGTTTCCTTACTCCAATCGCCTCTGTTTACCTAGCGGTAAGTAGGAACCCAGTTGTTAGTCGATTCGCAGATTGCTTTTCCGGGAGTAATGATCTCTTCAAAAAATATATATAATAATAATAATTTGGTCACTTAATCCACAACTGTTTATGGGCCACTGCTGTGTGCAGTTTGCTGCCACGTGTTGCTCATAAAATGTACAGTCACACACTTTGCAGAAAATTCTGTGAAGCGCTTTGAGGTATCTCAAAGACGTGATAAGCCACTATATCAAATGCAAGGATTATTATTATGGGTTTGCCTGAACGGAGTTTGAACCTAGGGATATCAGTCTTGTCTCGATACCAGCTCTGCACACGCTCACTTACCCAGTGTTTGTTCGAAGGGAGCAGGAGGGAAAATAGTGGGAGTGCTTTCCTGTCCAGGCAGAGTGGTTACAGGCTTGAAACATTTACTCCTTTTTTGTGGGATGTGGGATTGAGGGCAATAGCCACATTTCCAAATAGAGACTGAACCCTGGACATGTTCCATTCAATGTTGTTGCACTTTCTCCCCGTAGTTTATGTTACACTATATGTTATGCGTTCGCCCCTTCACTTTACAGTATGTCCTTTGAAGTGCTTTGAGGTTTAAACTCCTGACCCGATAGGTGCTATATCATATGTAAAGATTATTATTGTTGTGAAGATTTGTGCTTACTTGTGTACAATACAAAATTACATTTACACACAGCACTTTTCATGTCGGGAGGACGTCCCAAGGCGCCGGTTGCTCAGGGATTTGCGCCCGAGCTGGGGATTAGGATCGGGGAGTTGGAGGGCAGGGAGAGTAGGGCTAGGAAGGTGGCCAAAGGCGCGGTCGAAGAGGAGGGTCTTCAGACATGCCTTGAAGGAGCAAGGGATGGAGCGAGGTGTAGAAAGTCAGTGGTCCGGAGGACGGGGGCTAAGGGAGATTTTCTCTCCTCACCATTACCCTGTGGAGCCTGACTGCAGGTGAAACCTTATGGGATCAGTAGGTCTGGCTGTTAATTTCCAGGAGGAGCTGCAATGAATTCAGGATTTACAACCATATCTGACGCTTTACTGTCTGCAGTCTCTGTCGGTGTGTGCTGTGCTGCAGGATAATAAATTGAGTTGTATTGGGTGGTGAGTGCCAGCGCCTGGGAGCTTGGGGTTGCCGCTAATTCCTTGTTTACAGATGGTTCCTGACGGGGAGTCAGCAGAGCTAAATGCTGAATGCACACAACACATCGACATGCGTCTGCTACTGAATAACGATCGGAGGCCATTTACTGTCTTTGGCAGTGGGCAGGGCTTCCCACAGTCCTCTCTGTGTGCAATGCTGAGTATGTTTCTGACAAAGTGCAATGCAAGCATCCATTTTTTATTGTACGTATTAGGCAGTGGTGTACGTACCTCTCCCCTGCTTCAACTAACCCCTCCCTCAGCCCTGTCTCTTTTTGATGCTCTGGTTGATTTCCTACTGCTGCAATTCTTGCTGTGATACAGAGCTGGCTGGCTGGGACAGGTTTATGGTCATTGATACATGGTGCTGCCCTTGTATAAACCAGGACAACTAATGCTCCCTGGGGGTATAATGTTTGGTTCGTGCAGGTAGATAGTGCAACACACTTTGCAGGGTGGAGATGGTATACCCAGTCTGTAGGTTGTACCCCTCGAGCTTTCTCTGCCCCAAGATTTAGGTATCCACTCTGGCTCAGTTGGTAGCACCGCTGCTTCTGAGTCAGGAGATTGTTCGTTGCATCCCCATGTCTGTAATTTGAACATTTATATTTCAGGCTGACATTCAGTACTTAGGGTGTGCTGCATTGCTAGTGCTGTCCTTCAGATGAGATGTTAAAACCATGTTATGTATGTTCAGGTGGATGTTAAAGATCCTATGACACTATTGGAAAAGAGAAAGGAGTTTCTCTCTCCCCGTGTCCTGACCAATAATCCTTCAGATAAAATTGGTCACTCGCTCACTCACTCACATCACGGCTGTTTATGGGACATTACTGTGTGCAAATGGACTGCCATATTTGCCCACAAAGTGCAGTCACTACACTTTAGGGTATATTTTTGAAGCGCTTTGAGACATCCTCCCCCTGTCAAAGGTGCTATCAGATACAAGAATTATCAATATTGCATCCATCTGTGGCCTTTGGGTGTAGATTGAAGCTGAGAACTAGAAGACATAATTCTGATGCAAGTACGTCAGTGTGTGCTCACAAGATTGTGAAAGTCCTCACATCCTGGTATTATACAGCTGCTGTGCAATGTAAACATCCTCTAAGTTGGTCTAATTCCAGTCAGCCCCCTGTTCTCTCTCTCCCCCCCCCCATCAAGAAAAACCTGAATCTTCCTCCCAAGCTAACATTCTGAATGCTTTTCAAATTCACTGACCCTGAGCATTAAAGCATGACCACTGCAAATGGCCCCTGACTTTCCTTATTGATGGGTTTAACAGCATCTCACTATTAATAGGTGGTGAACTGTGTGACCGCACTGGCTGTCTGATCTAGCAGAGAATGGGAAAGGTGTTATTTGTTTGATAAAGTTGAAACAAACCTGATAAAGGGAGAGCTTGTAATCTGCTGCCAATAACTGGGTCTGTTGCAGGCTGCGGACATGTCTGGCGTCTGTATGCAGTTACTTTCTCTCTACCTCTTTTCCCCCTTTCACAATAATTCTTAGCATTGCAGTGTGTCAGCCAGACTTCCCTTTGCTTTGGCCCTCCACATTCCTGAGCTGACATCTCCTTAGGGCATGACAAGTCAGGGAAATGTAGTGCAATGTAGGGTGAATGATAGGGTGGGGGTGGGGTGGGAGGGGAAGGAATTGAAGACCTGTCTGGCTATGCAGCATATTTGCATGTTGAGCTGCTACTGTTGCTCTGGATTTGAAAGCTCTGTTGCTAAATTTCACTGATTCTGGTTGGCTGTATTGGTGTTCCATCTGCCTTAGATTTAAGACTGACTGCGTAGGAAGTTGCCAGAGTTCTGTGAAGCTAACGCAGCTCTGGCTCTGGGGCCCTAGCACTGGAGGAGTTGGCAAGCTGCACTCTTTCATAGCAGTAAAATGACACCATGCTTCTCCTCCATTTTCTAATGAAGTCTGCGGAGTGGGAAAGTAACCGAAGTTGGAAGAGGCTGTCGCTGGAGTCGCAGAAACTGTTAGTGTTTTTTTTGTCCCTTTCCCAAGTCGTGGTGGCTTCAGTTCAGGTTAGTTCCAGGTTAGCAGCAGCCAAGAGTCTTTCTCTTCCTCCACTCCACACACACCAACGCCGCCCCCGCCCCACACACATACACTTTTGAAAGTCTTGTGGTATTGACTGCATTTGTCAGAAGGAATGCGCAAAGGTTAGCTAACCCTTAGAACGCAGCTGAATATCCTCTCGAGAGACACCTAAAGTAGTACTGGAGGAAGGAAAGCCTGTTGTTTGTGTGTGTTTACTGCAGAAATAGCTGTTTATTTATGGGGATTTTGGTGGGGGCGGGGGCATAAATTGTTTAATTTGTGACTTGCATATACTGTAATAGTTGAGGTTTAAGCTACTGTTTATAAAGAGGTGGAGCCCCGAGGTGTTTCAGTGTGCAGAGAATTCAGCTGCAAATGGTGGCCTTCCTCTGCAATCCGATCTCCTTTCCCTGTGCGATGAGTGGAGGCTGCTTCTACCTGCCTGAGAACGGCAAAATGTGGAAATGGCACGGAGCAAAGTTTCCCAGGCTGAATTTGTTATTTCACTCGGTGTTGTTTGGTGTTTGAAATCTTGTGTCTTAAATAAGGTGATGACTTTAGGAGCGTCAGTCAGCTATTCTCTGAGGGAGAAGTTCAGAGTTTGACCATAAAGGCTTTTTTGTGCCGGCAGCAATGAACGGAGATGAGCCTGCGAGTGTGTGTCTGCGTGTGTTTTGTATAGTACTGAAACCAAGGTGTCTTGAGGGGAAAATAAAACTTATTCTCTTGAGTGTTCTTGTGACTAACCGAGTATTTAAATTGTGCAGTAGGCAGGGATTGATGTGACCTGGCTTTGTGGGGAGAAGGTTATATGTTGGGGGTGGGGGTGGGAGGCTCGTGAGGAGAATGGAGTTATGGCCCAGCACCTCTCATTTGTGGACATTTGTCTGCACTCTCGCCTCTTGAGTCAAAAGATTGTAGGCTTAAGGGAATAGGGAAATAGAGGGGTATAGAAGAGGCCATTAGGAAGGGTAGGTGGAGGTCGGTGTAGAGCATAAACACTTATTATCGGGAGCCATGCAACCAACCCCAACCTTATTCTCAACAGGTGCTCACTATATATTCCAGCAGTAGGGGGCACGGTAGAGTAGGGGCCCTGCTGACTCTTTTCTGTCCCCAGTCCCTCAGAAGGCATGTGGAGGATGATCTGGTGGCTGTCCTTGGGAAAACTCAATAGAGTGGAGAAATCTGCGAATTTCTCCCTCGTTACTTGGCGCTGGAATTGCCAGCGTGGTCATCCTTTGTACCTGCTGAAATGCCTTTGAATAAACACTGTCCGGTGTGAAATACCACAATGAGCAGATGACGGCCTGTTTCTGATTTGAAGGCCCAGTTTTATGGACAGATGTTCTTGCTCTTACCGATAGCCAAGGTTTTGTCCATAGACTACAGCGCGGCGCAGAGAGATGCGATCGGGTTCCCTAATTTAGTGGAGTGCCTGCCTCCACCCCCTTCTGCTGATCTCACAGCTGCTACTATTTTGGTTGGTATGAATGTGTAATTTAAAAAAAAATGAGGCTGATAGGATATTAGTTCCCGGCTTTGATGCTGAATTCAAGCTACTCTGTATGTTTCCAGCTTTAACTAGTGATATTGCTTTCTCTTCTCTCCCCGAGTAACCCTGGATGCCAGCCCAGCTCCCTATTCTCTTGTCTAGCCTCGATCTTGACTGCTCCCCTGTTCCCTGCTCTGTGTGCTGCGACCTCTGTGCTTCACTGAACAAACAGCCTCACAATGCTGTAGGGACTATTGTCAAGTAGCAATACAACAGTGGCTGGAGTGCAGTTTCCTGCAATGCCTTTGGTGACAGGGAGGCAATGTTACTCTGGGATGCTATTTGAGTGCTTGTTGGTTGCAGAAATGACATGAAAGTGCCAAGTCCATTATGGTGAATTCCATCTCGTGTTGGAGGTGTGTTCAGTCAGTTTAGGTTTGGTATGTTCATGCTGTGCGTGTGCAGACACGAGCAGAATAACTAATGTGAACGACACCAAGAAAAACTCCCATCTCAGCTTGCTTCTGCAGGAGACCTGAACGACCATTTGGGCAAATTACTTTGTCAGTGTTTTGTGTATTTTGCGAGATTACAGAAGGGCCAATGTGGTCTCCCTCACAGATGTTGCTCCTTTTCTTCCCTTCTCTGATGAAGGTGACTTGCCCCAAATGTCTGTTCTTCCAGTCTCCTGCACAATCAAAAAGAGGTGTCCTCCACATTAATTAATTGGGCGAACCCTTCGCAAGTTTCTTTACTCCACACACCTCTGTTTACCTAGCAGTAGGTAGGAGCCCAGTTGTTTGTCGACTGGTGGATCGCTTTCCGGGGGTAATCATCCCTCCAAAAAATGTGGTCACTCAGTCGACAACTGTTTGTGGAACATTGCTGTGTGCCCATTTCACCCTCAGTTACGTTTTGCCCACAGGCTGCCACATTTCGCCCACAGTCAATCCACTTTACAGTAAACGCTTTGAGACGTCTCAACGACGTGATAAGGCAGTATATCAAATGCAAGTATTATTATTATCCGCAGTCCTCACTTGACATGGTCAAGTTGGTTCGAGTCCTGTAGCTCAGTGGTTAGAGCACTCACCTCGCAAACGAGAGAATTGAGTTTGATTCTTGGCGGGGCGAAACCTTGGGCAAGTTTCCTTACTCCACACGCTTGATAACAACAACGACAACTTGGATTTATAATAATCCTTCAAGAAAAAAAATAATAAACTAGTCACCTCAATCCACGACTGTTTGTGGAACATTGCTGTGCGCAATTGGCTGCCGCGTTTCGCCCACAGATATATAGTCAATTCACTTTACAGTCTATTCTGTGAAGCGCTTTGAGACGCCTAGAAGACGTGAAAAGCGCTATATCAAATGCAAGGATTATTATTATTTTTTATTATAAACACCTTAGCCTCATCCACCCTCATTGTAACCTGTTCCACTTGTTAATTGCCCTCTGTGTAAAAGTCTTTCCTCTTACTGTGCCTGGCAATATGAATGGCTGATTGTCAGACAGTCTGCCTGGGATACAATTCCAGAGCTGTGTAGTGGCTTTGAATTATTACTAGAGTTTTAATTCTGTTAAAAATAGATTTATTTTTGGCTAAACAAACCCGATGAAATCGCCGGATAATCTTGCTTGTAAATAGGGGTGTTTATTTCTGGTGGGGCCACGAGATCTTTGGTAGAGATGTCTAACCAGTAAGCTGACATTCACAGCTGGGAGCTTGTGCAGTGGCGTAGAGTACACAGGAGGCATTAACTTTCATGGCTGCGTCAGTCACCCTGACGCTGTCAGCAGGGTTAGTGGTCTGATTGTGCAGGGAGGGAAGAGGCTACAGTTGAAGGATTTATCCGAATCTGTGGCTTTTAATTAAAAATAGCCCTGCTGATAAAGATTTTTTTCTTTGCATGTGTGTTTAAGTGCAAGGGATAACTTGCTATTGAGCTGCGAGAGGGACATATATTCAATTCATAAACCTATCCAGTGTTCTGCACTATCCCTGAGCACAGTGACTGGAGAGCCGAGAAATTCAATTACAATAATAGATAACTGATGATTGCAATTCGTTGTGGTTGGTTGGGGGGAGGAGGTAGAGTTTGAGAAACTCCAGTTTGTTTGAGGGATTTCAGGTAATCAGAATCTCAGCATCTGCCTCTCTACTCTCAATCCTGTGTCTGTCTGTCTGTCTGGACATCTCTGGCTGCCTCTTGTCAGGATTCATTCAGCTGTGAAATAGCATAAAATTAGGTCACTGCTGTGCCAGCCTTGCTCGGGGAGGGGGAGCAGTCTGCTTGCTGAGCACTGGAATAATACCCATTTTCTGTGTCCTTGAAAGTGATACCGAGATTGTAGTGCTTTATCTATTGCGCTGTGCTCTTAATGTTGATTATGTGAAGGTTTAAAGTGCTGTAGACATATTGCATCAATCTCTTTCTGTATGGGGTCTGGAACAAGCTTATCTTCAGTTTTTTATCTGGGAGGATGGAGGATACAGAGGAAGCTTCTAATTTAGCTGGCGGGTGCGCGGAAAGGTTGGATAAGATTTACTGCAGGGAATGAATGCAGACAGCCTCTGGTTGGGTCAGTTTGTACAAGGGGTGGGCATTTTCCAACGCAGAAGCTCAGTGCAGATGGGGATGTGGAGTCTGGCTTTATCCTTTACTGCTGTCGGTGGCTGTAAGGAGTGGATCCAGATTTTACTGTCGTGCAGTGGCTTTGAAGAAACCAGAGCAGTGGAGTGACTGGTGCTGGGTCAATGGTACAGGGAATGCAGAAACCCAGAACGTGAAGAATCCCATTAACTGTCCACGTGTCATTGATTAGTCACTCACCAGCTGAATTTCAGTCCTGAAAATATTGTCAGTCTGACTTAGCATTGTCTTACTGTGAGCGTGACATAAAGAGAATCTTGAGCTGACATTGGCTGTGATTTGGAATTTACAGAGGAATGTACTCTGGACAGGTGGCTCCCTGTTGTGTTGCACTAAGAGAGGGTGAGATTGAAGCAGTAAGGAGGTTGCCTCTCGCAGGAGGTTGATGAACATATGTGATGCTCTTCTCCCTGTTCAGGGCTTTAGCCTCTAGTAGTTGCTGCAGCTCCCCGTGGCATCGAAGTCTTATTTCAGTGCTTAGACAGCAACAACAAATGACATTTACACAACGCCTTTCATGCGGGGAAGAAGTCCCAAGGTGCTTGACAGTCAAGGATTTGGAGCTGACCTGGGGATTGGGATCAGGGGTGATGGAGGGCAGGGGTAGGATGGTGACAGAAAGTGCAGTTGAAGAGGAAGGTGTTGAGACGGGTCTTTAAGGATGCAAGGGAGGGGGCGAGGTAAAGGGACTGTGGAATGGAGTTCCAGAGGATGGGGGCAGAAAGGCTGAAGGCTTGACCGCTGATGATGGGGCGGGAAGGGCGGGGGACATGGAACAGACTGGAGTCTGCTGAGCAGAGGGAGCTGTTGTCTGGACATTTTGTCGTAACCAACTTTTGGTAGCCAACGGGTGTTGAACATTCTTAGTGTGATATCTGTTATCAGACTCCATTTCCAATTTTCTTAAAAGTGGCCAAGGTTATGTTATCTTCATACTCGTGATTAAAGCTTGGATTTATATAGCGCTTTACACATAGGACAACCTCTCGCCCGCTAGTACTAAATTAATGAATAAAAGTAACCAATGCATTAGACAGGATTCAACCTGATTCCATTGCTCCCCCGACCCCCCCACACCAGTGCTGCTGGGTATTGCTTGCTGCACAGAACTTTTGATAAGCTGTGCAAGCAGAAGACACTAACTTAATCTCATTTTATTTCTCTTTTAAAGTGCCAGAGCCAACTAAGACCTGTCCAAGCCAGCCTCCGCCTCCACCTGCCAACCAAAACAGTGGCACTTCGGCAACTACCAGCAACAATAGCAATGCCAAGCGGGCCCCAGCCAGCGCTCAGCAGCAAACCGTGTCTCGCTATCCACCTCGGGAAGTACCGCCACGCTTTCGACACCAGGAACAAAAGCAGCTGCTGAAGAGGGGCCAGCAGCTGCCTACAGGAGCTGGGACTTTAACGCCAGTACTGGGAGTCAGCACTCTGACTGTCCAGCCAGTCACCAACGGACAGCCGCCACACCGAAGCAAAGCCCAGACAGGTAAAGAGGATTCTTTCATTTCAATTGCCGCACAGTTGCTTGGGAGTCCCATTTATACTCCTGCATGAGGACCAATATATCTGCAGACTCTCTTGTTTGACCCTCAACCTTTCTACCCTGCATCCACGCAATGACCCGCTCTGCCTTCCCCCACCTTCGCAACGCCGCCCGGCTCTGCCACTGCCTCTCCCCTCAGGCTGCCGAGACCCTCATTCAGACATTCATTACATTCATTACATCGACTGCGCCAACTCCCTGCTTGTCGCCCTTCCCAATTCTTCCTTCCACAAGCTGCAGATCATCCAGAACTCTGCAGCTCGTGTCCTCTCCTGCACCAGGCTCCATGATGCTATCACCCTCGCCCGGCTCCACTGGCTCCCCATTTCCCAGACGATAGAGTTCAAAATCCTCACCTTCAAAGCCCTTCCCGGCCTTACTCTCTGTGACCTGCTAACCCCATACCAACCTGTCCGCTCCCTTCGCTCAGCAGTCTTCAGCTGTCGGGCCTTCAGCCTCTCTGCCCCCACCCTCTAAAACTCCATCCCACAGTCCCTTTGCTTCTCTTCCTCCCTTGCCTCCTTCAAGACACGTCTCAAGACCCTCCTCTTCGTCCGTGCCTTCAGTTACCCTACACCTACCCTCCCTGCTCTCCACCCCTCCTGATCCCAAGCCCCTGCTCGGGTCCAAATCCCTGATGTCCAGCGCCTTGGGACGTCCTCCTGACATGAAGGGCGCTGTGTAAATATCATTTGATGTTGTTTAAATTTGATAAGTCCATCTTTGCCAGTTTGCAATTTTCTGTTTCATTGTTCCTAATGAGAGCGGTATCTCACACCACGGCTGATCTCAAACAGCCGCCTGTTAGCTGGCCGACTGGAGCCTCCCAAGGAGCACCCCTCAATGGGGAATTCCTGCATTAATCCACCATGTAATAATATAATAATAATAATCCTTGCATTTGATATAGCGCTTTTCACGTCGGGAGGACGTCCAGAAGCGCTTCACAGAACACTGTAAAGTGAATTGACTGAATATTTGTGGGCGAATGCGGTAGCCATTTGCGCATAGCAATGTCCCACAAACAGTCGTAGATTGAAAATGACCAATTTATTATTGTTTTTGGTTTTTGGAGGGATTATTATTAGGCTCTGTGTGGAGTAAGGAAACTTGCCCAAGGTTTCGCCCTCTGCCTGGAATTGAACTCAGGTCTCTCACTTGCAAAGCGAGTGCTCTAACCACTGAGCTACAGGACTCCATGGAGAAATAAAGGCAAAGACCTAACCTGGCTGGACAGCAGTGGGAAGCTTGCCAGACAGTGCTTTCAATGGTAAATTGTACGGTTTTAGCTGGTTAAACTCCTATCAGTGCCCCAACGCACACTCTGGGGACCCCAAGCCTCGGCTCTTGCAACCAGTGACTGAGGCTCTCCAGGGTTAGGGTAGCAGAGCACGGTGTTTAAAACAGCGTGCGTTCCATTCCAGGCACATGGAAATTTTCACACGTGAATGGCATGTAAGTGGAAATGTCTGTGCCGGGAAACTCTTAAGGGTGGTGATGAGCTTCTACATATATCAGACAACCGGCTGACCAAACAAACTTCCTTCTAATTGAATGGGAATGGGAAGATCAGGAAATCAGTTGATTACAGCATCTGTTATGGAAAGTGGGCCTTGCCTGCCCATTCGCACTGCAACTCTTTCTCCTCACGCCTCCGGTCTCTGAAATGATCAGATCAGGGTGGTCTTGCCAGGGCACACTGGCGCAAGTTTCAGTTGGAGGCTAACCTGCTGTCTACAATCCAGTGATTTCCATGTCACAGACACTAGGTAGGTGATGGTAATTGGACTGTTGTAAAACTGTTACTTATACAAAATCTATTGGGCTGTGTACGCTATCACTTTCTCTCGTTATCCAAACTGTGGTTTAGTTCTTATCTCAGGCAGTCACAGTGCTTGTGATATGAGTAATGAGGGTGGTGTGTGGCTGAGGCCTTTGATCTGACAATCTAAAACTGATCACAGCAGCTAGAAATGTAGCGGCTACCACCTGAAAAGATTGTGTGGGGAGTTGGGGTATGAATCTACAGCTAAACCTGTTTGCTCTGTGCTGTTGCTCGTTGGCTATGGTTCACCCAAAGCCTAGTTCATGGAGGAACGAACCTCTGGAACCTTTCCCTTCCTGTGGAGGGAGGGATTTTATTGTCAGGCTTCTGTCAGTAATTTAAATCCTTCTGTCTGTGGGTGATAAGGAATCAAATGTTTCTATCTCTCGATTGATGCTTACGGAAACGAGGCTCAAAATATTTTCAGAACAGTCAGTTTCTGGTGCTGCATCGATAGTAAATACATACTTAACACAGTCCCGTACTCTCCAGATCAATGCCATAAGTGTTTACCAACAAATAATCATTGCACATGATAGAAGCTATGTGTGAACTACAAATTTTGACCATATGAGCATTGATACAAATGCAAGGAGGTTTATTTATTAGACTATACAAGAGCTTGCAGTGGCTGAATTGTGCTTCCCAAGCACGTTCTGTCTCACAATCTGACATTTCAGCACAAGAGGCCATTTGATGTGTTGCCTGTGCCATGTTAGTTCCCCCACTGGAGCTGTCTGCTCGAATCCTATTCTCAGCTCATGCAGGCACCCACCGTATCTGTGTTCAGCTTTTGCTATTTTACTGTCAGATTTGCATCACTTTTTAAAGGGCCAAATGTGTTTCACATTGGTGCTGGCATGTTAGGTACATGTATTGATCCTGTGACAAATGACTATTTATTTTCAGCGATGCAGCACCTAACATTTCAGGGCTTTGAAGTGTCCTTTCTGCTGTTGCTGCTTGTTGAGTATGTTTACACATTATCCGTTGCACTTGTGACCCAAGTGCTATTCTCATCAGAGCCTGTGGGAGAAGTGGCACATTCTGTTCCAGGGCTTACCAGTGCTCACTCCCCTTAAACTAAGCTCCAATATAATGCAACAACAGGGCAAAACGTTAGACAAGTTTCCTTACTCCACACTCCTCTAGGAGTAGTAGTAAGTAGGAACCCGGTTGTTAGTCAATTGGTGGATCGTTTTTCTGCAGGTAATAATCCCTTTAAAAATTATTAATTTGGTCACTCAGTCCACGACTGTTTGTGGGACGCTGCTGTGTGCAATTGACTGCTACGTTTCGCCCACAAAACATACTTTCACTTTCACTTTACAGGTATATTCTGTGAAGCGCTTTGAGACGTCTCGAAGATATGATCCTATATCAAATGAAAGGATTATTATTATCTAAGCCTTTTACAACGCAGCACAGCCTGTGTATGGTGTGCTGAATTACGGTTTGTGTGCTCAGTGCAACGAGAGGAAAGCCCTTCTTACTCAGTGGCTTTGTGAGCCGCACTGCGACATTCCTATTCCCCTTTCAGAGAATGGTATAAGAGCCTTTTTTGGGGAGGTGACTAGCAGAGGGTAAATGGACTAAAAGACCGAGTGTTGGATTCGTGCTGACCTGTTTCCTGTCTCACAGGCTGCTTTCATGTGAAGCACTTTTATTCAGAGATATCCTAGTTATTAACCTCAAGGCAAGGGTAAGAGAATTGGGAATGTTTACAAGGGTTGGAGGTCAGATGCTTCATCCTGCGTGTTTATGGCTTTATCTGAACGCTGTTGATAAACGATAGTCTAGCAATCGCTCACTGCTATCTTACTTATTCTTCTGGCACACGGTTGCCTTTGAAATGGGTGGTAGAGTACTCCAGCAGTAGGAGTAATTGGCAATGTAAGGAATTTTTTTTTAATGAGCTCTTGTAAATCTAAGGAAATAGGATGTGTCTTGTGACCGCCAGGTGAAGTTTTGACTTACATGTGGAGTTGAGGGTATGACAGTGCCATACCACACTTGCTAGGAGATATTTACTCTACGTACACAAGCCGCTAACGGCTTTCTTGTGAGGTAATGATTCTGCTGGAAGGTGAGGGTGTAATTGTAACTGTTCCCCCAAAGCCCTGTAGCTTCCATAGTGGTTTATGATGAGAGCTTACATGAATGATGCATTAGCATTACGGAGGAGCTTTCGTACAGGCTGATGCTACCAGCTGAGTTCAGCCGAAGCCTGACGAGACTGGTTTGGGAACCGCAAATTTATTGTGGTTGCAGCCCATCTCACAATAACCGGTCGTAGGAACATGACTATAGGAGCGGGAGTAGGCATTCAGCCCCTCGAGGTTGTTCCACCATTCTATTAGATCATGGCTGATCTGTACTTCAACTCCAAATATCCACCTTTGCCCCATACCCAAGATGAGCTAAGAGCAGAGAGCCTCACAGTCTCTACAAAGGAAGAGAGGATAATTGTAACCTGGAGCCCGCAGTTCTACTCCACCTAACGCTGAGCTCCGGTGTCGGATCAGCTTTCAGCTGCTTGCTGTGGCCGTGCATGCTGAAAGTGAACGGGGCGGAAACCTCATCACGGTTAGTGGCCGTTCACCCACACGCACAACACACAGAATGGATCCAATAACATTGGCGTATAAAGGCCTGTCAGAGTCAGGGTATCAGTGTTCAAGGGCTTATTCCGTTCACTGATATGTTGCAACTTGTGTGATGTGAAGAGAGGCATTGGGCCCTGAACTTGCAGTGCAGCCTCTCCTCATTGTTACACAGACACTGTTGTGAGCAGTGGTGCCAGTGTTACACAGTGAGTGAGATAACAACAATAGTAGTAATAATAATAATAATCCTTGCATTTGATATAGTGCCTCATCGCATTCCCCTACCACCTCCTCTGTTACCACATTCATCCTGTTACCACATTCCGGATGAAGCCCAACATTTGCTCGGCTGTTCAAGGAAAGGAGTTTGGGTGAAGCTTTTACTCTCTACTGTATGGAAAGCCCTGGAGCTCAACAAGTCGCCAGATCTTACTCTGAATCTGAAAATGGGTTTAACAAAACTGATTGGTATCCATGGAGACGAACTGCCAGCAATTCTTTGCAGTTCTGGC